ATAAAACTCACATTTCCCTGGCATCACAGTAACACTGAATAGGGAGAGATATAAAGAAATCATTATTTCAAAAAAAAAGAAAATGAACCAAGACTGAGACCTTTTATTACTCTCAAACTTATATTCACGTGGTTAACATGGCAATTTTAGTAGTTAAGCTATAGCTAGAAGTGTGCGGGATCACTATGATGCAGAAGAGGCAAAAATCATGAAACTACCACATATTTTTTATTTTAAGTGCATTTTGTTACGACACTTCAAGCGCCGCTCATCTGCACAGAGGCGCTTTCATTAAAATATGCCTTCTTAAAGACTACCTTTCTCTCTTACTAACACTCTGTGGAAGGTGGTTCAGGATAAAGTGATGTTCTTGGTAATAACTATCTCACAGGATCCACACTATCATCTCTGAGAGCTTTGAACGTGATGCCACTCATGAGGCCGCGACCAAGCTGCATCTGTAACTGTAGGCCCTTGCATCAACCAACCCTACCGGTAAACAGTGGTGGGAGGAAGCAGTCTTGCTTGTGAGTCTCCTGACACTGAGTCGGCCTTTTTGAGCAAGATACACGTGAAAGAAAAATGAAGAGAAAGGCCATTATGGAAGAGCAGCTTGCACTCTAGAGCTTGGGATACTGAGGGCACTAAGATGATTAGTTAATATCAAAGGAGTTCTTGAAGAAGATAAAAGGTCATTTCCACAAGCAATGAAACGATCCTCATCATGTGAGAAGAATATTCTGTCCTTTATTAGGGGTCATTTTTATGCTCAATAAAGTGATGTAAAATTCACTATTTCATAAACAGATCAGGTTTAGGATAATGGCCTGTGCTTTTTCATTTCCTTTTTGGCAGTACATCATGTCAAATGTCAGCAATGTCAATAGTCTTCATTAGAATTTTTCTGATACAATTGGGATATTTTGCACAGATAGGCAACTGTTAATATTATAAGTAGAAACTAAAGCGTTATACAAAGGTACAGAAAGATTAAAAACTCCATATTCTAAATCACAGCAAAAAGGCTTCATACCAAGTTCCGAAATTAAAAACCGTAAGGTTGAAAGTACTCTGTTTCTTTTTATCTCTAGTACATGACTACCTTCAAGCAGCAATATAATCTTTAAATATGCTCACAGAAAACATCTTTTATTTCTAACAAGAAGTGATGCCCCACTTATAACATTTTCAATTCATAGAGCCCACATGTGGTTGTGGACTAGCATAGCCAGACAGAGTGTACATTTCAAAATAACTAAACCTCACAGATCTCCAGAAATTCCTCACATCTATTATGTTTACCTTCTGCTGCTGCTGAGCCTGTGTGGCTCTGCAGAGAGGAAATTACAAGCGCTCCAGAAGCTTTGGCAAGAGGATGCTAGAAGAAACAATGGGCAAAAAAAAAAAAAAAATTCGTAACCGAAGCATCATATCCAGCTATGGCTACCATTTACATATCTGAGATGACGGCGAGTACAATGGAAATTCCATTGAAATGGAATACATTGTTTTCTGAAACCCATACCTGATTACCACCGGTGATGTCTTAAATTAAACATTCTAGGCTGTACTCAATATATTTTATGGAATTCAACAGATGCTTTGCTGAAAATCCGTCTGTTTATACAATTTTCCAGTTAAGAAATAGGTACTTGGATCCCCCTAAAATTTTTATTCTTAACTTTGTGATAGCTTTTCTATTAATCTGTATTCCCAAACCAATCTCTCTTTACTTAATAGGTGTTTGCAGGCTAGTTTAAGAACTGCTAACCGGTCAGGAAATGCCATTAGAAATATTTCGTAGTTACATGTTTACGTATCACTGGAAATTTGCTTATAGTTGATGCCACGGGAGACGCTCATCTTTAAGGCATATCACGCATACCAGTAAAAAGTTAATAGATCAAAAATATTCAACTGAAATTATGTATATACAATGCCAACACAATCAAGTAAAAGGTAAAAAGGCCTAATCCCCTCAATTGTATTTTTTACTCGTTCTTAATTTTAATTTTTTGATGAAGTTAATTAGCCATTTTGTCATTTTGAAGACAGTTTCTCTAATACACGTAAGAAGTGGTATTAAAGAAAACTTAATCACTTCAATGTTGCAAGAGAACTGTGTGTACTTCAAGTTTGTAAAGCACAAAGTTATCATTTATTACATCTCACTCATTATAAAGTTAAAATGCATAGTGATGTACAGATCTGCTTAAGAAGAATCACTTCTGAAATAACATGGGAGGTACAGCTGTTCCTAAGAAATAAATACAAGGAAATAAAAAATAAAACCACTGGGCAAGTACTCGGTGGATAATTTACAACTCTACTTAAAAAGTAAAATTCACAGTTCAACATACCTTAACAAAAAGGGAAGTCAGAAAGTAAACAACCTCACTACAAAACTTAAAAATCAGCAAATACATATACCGTATGTCAATTGTGGGCCCACATGCGTATTTGAGGCACTAACCATTTACCTTTTCCTGCCCAGTTGCCT